TACTCATACGACTATATGACAATTAGTATCATTTTAGACTCCCCGCCAGCCTTGAATGCAACTGCCAAGGTAGCCAAAGCGTCAACCATTTGATTTTCTTCTCTAGGCATATAGTGGAAGGTGACTTCATCGAATTCTTCGAGCAGATCCAGTATTAGCTTCTAGTATTCCATCAACTTTGTATCCTTGGTCTCCCATTCTCCACGGAGCTGATAGATTACTAATGTCGAATCTCTGTATATCCGCAAGGTCTTTATGTTTTGCTCTAGTGCAGCTCGAATTCCCAAGACACAGGCTTCATACTCAGCCATGTTATTGGTGCAATCGAAGTTCAATCTGCTGGTAAATGGGTAGTGATTCCCTTCTGGAGAGATCAAGATTGCCCCGATGCCATGTCCTAATGCATTTGATGCACCATCGAAATGCATTCTCCATGAATTGTCTGTTGAAGTACTTGATTCTTCTAAAGATATAACCATCAAGTCTTCGTCTGGGAAATCAAAATCCAATGGCTCGTAATTCTCATAGGTTCTACTTTCCAAGAACTCTAATATGGTACTTTCTTTTATGGCTTTCTGGCTCATATACTCGATGTCGAATTCAGACAATAGCATCTGTCATCGGGCTAACCTTCCAGATAGAGTAGGTACACCCATTATGTACTTTAAAGGGTCTAACATGGAAATCAGCCAAGTGGTGTGATATAGCATGTATTGTCTAAGTCTTTTTGTAGCCCAGACTAAAGCACAACAAACCTTCTCGACAGGAGGATATCTGACCTCGTAATCGGTGAACTTCTTGCTCAAATAATAGATGGCTCTTTCCTTTCTTCCAGATTCGTCATGTTGACCCAAGACACACCCCATTGAGTTCTCAAATATGGATAGATACAAGAACAGAGGTTTGCCTGGGATAGGGGACATCAAGATAAGAGTGCGAGACAAATACTCATTTACTTTTTCGAATGCAATCTGGCAGTTTTCATCCCATGCTCCTGGGTTGTTCTTTAGGAGAAGACGGAAGATTGGGTCACATTTTTCTGTTAACTGAGATATGAACCGTGCTATGTAGTTCAATCTGCCCAAAAAACTTCTGACCTCTTTTTGTGTTCATGGTGGAGGTAGACTCTGAATAGCCTTAACTTTATCGGGATCGACTTCGATACCTTTTCTACTGACCACAAAGCCTAATAGCTTCCCAGATATTACCCCGAAGGTACACTTGCTAGGGTTCAATCGTAGTTGGAACTTCCTCAACCTCTGGAAGAGCTATCTCTGGTTCCCGACATATTCATTCTCGGTTTGTTCTTTGACAATTATGTCGTCGATATAAACCTCGATTTCTTTATGCATCATGTCATGGAACAGATTCACCATAACTCTCTGATATGTTACCCTGGCATTCTTCAATCCGAAGGGCATCACCTTGTAGCAGAAAGTTCCCCCACATTGTGACGAACATGGTCTTCTCCATGTCTTCAGGATGCATCTTGATCTGGTTATATCCCAAGAATCCATCCATGAAAGAAAAGAAAGCATTCCCAGTTGTATTATCTACCAACGTGTCAATGTAAGGCAGAGGGAAGTTGTCTTTGGGACTTGCCTTGTTAAGGTCCTGGTAGTCATACACATACGTACTTTCCCGTCTTTCTTCGGAACAGGCACTATGTTTGTCACCCACTCCGGATACTTGGCCACTTGAAGAAAACCAGTATCAAATTGCTTCTTAACCTCTTCTTTGATCTTAAGGAGTATTTCTAGTCACATTCTTCTTAGCTTTTGCTGTACGGGTTTGAATTCTGGCTTGATTGGCAGTTTGTGAACTACCATATCTGTGTCTAGTCCCGACATGTCTTGATATGACCATGCGAACACATCTCTATACTCCTAAAGTAAGATTATCAGGTTTTGTCTTGCTTCAGTCGAGAGAGTTATACCAATTTTAACCTCCTTTCTGTCATCTTTAGTGCCCATATTCAAGATTTCGATCGCCTCCTCATGTGGTAGTATTTGTTTTTATTCTCTTTCTACCATTCTCAACAATTCGGTAGGCAAGTTGCACTCCCCTTTATTGTCGCACTCATCAAATTCCTTGAGACAAATGGCCGATTCAAAATCCACCTTCGGATCAGAATCATCAATGCCTACATTATCATTATATGGGGACCTGAAGGAAGAGAAAAATGTGTATGCATGAGATGAAAATATCCCACACGGATTAGTCAAGAATTAAATTCGAAAGAAAATGGGAATGAAGTACTGAAATGAAGAAAATAGATAATGAAATCAAAAATAAATAAAAGAGAATATGTTTGTCACAATGTGGGGAACTTTATGCTTTTCAAGTATGTTGTTCCCCTCATCGGTACACTCCTCGCCACCATTCGAATTAGCCATAGGAGGTCCCGAACACCGGTGAAAGGTCCATCCGAAAGGTAAACCTCTTCTTTTTTATTTTTTTAGTTTGTAATGTTATTTCCCAATATATATATATATATATATATATATATATATATATATAGCTTTTTGAAATGGAGGGAAAAGATCATTTTACATTGTTTTACCCAAGTTTTATATAACCCTTTACATTTCTGAAATAAAGTAAAAAATTCTATTGATTTGGTCTTTGCTTGCTGTTGAGATCTTCTGGCTGAGATGGGATATGGTGGCAGGGAGCTGATGGCACAATACCCAGGCGTGGGGCTGCTAGAGCTTGTTGATGGAGGCACAGTGACTGTGACAAGGGATGGGCTACTGGCTGGTGGTTGGTGCAGTTACAACCGGGGCATTGAATGCCCAGATACTAAGGAATTTTTATCCCTTCATTTTATTTTATTAGAAATAATAATAAATAATGTTAACGAGGTCTTTAGGAGAAAATGAGTGTCGACAGCTGCCCCTCTTTACCCATTCTTATGTTAACAAGAATATGGAGAAGACGAAAAGACAATGATTTATCGTCCGATCAAATTTGTTCTTGGAAATCTGATATTGTCTCAAGTGAGACAGGGAATGAACAATATCTCAAGAGATATTTTTGAAAATGAAATCTAAAAAGGGATATGCTTCGATGTTTCTTCAGGGTAAATTATATATGGAAATGTTGATTCATTTCACTGTTCTTTAGGGAATATTAAATCGAGACAGATTTGTTCTACTATTCCTTAGGAAAGATCAGATATGCAAAAATGGGATATGTTTTGCTGCTTCTTCAGGGTAGATAAGATCTAAAAACATTGATTTATTCCACTATTCTTCAGGGAATATTGAATCGAGACATATTCATTCCACTGTTCCTCAGGGATGATCAAATTTGGAATAAGGAGATCTGCTCCGCTGCTTCTTCAGGGTAAATCATATCGAGAAACGTTGATTCATTCCACTGTTCCTCAGGGAAGATTGAATCGAGGAAGATTTGTTCCATTATTCCTCAGGGAATATCAAATATAGAAAGAGGGGATCTGCTCCGCTGTTTCTTCAGGATAGATAATATATCGAAACATTGATTCTTTCCATTGTTCCTCAGGAAAGATTGAATCGAGGTAGATTTATTCCTCTTGTCTTCAAGAATATAAAATTTGAAAATTAAACATTACCACTTCTTAGTATATGTTTGGGAATTTGGAAATGTCACACATGAAGGTTTGGAATTCAAGAGAATCTTTGAAAATTGATTTTTCTTATGGAAACTTGTCTCGCAGCCAACAAATATAGGAACCTGCCTTGACTTGACTGTCAGTTGAACCTTTCCTTTTTTGGGATTTTGAATTGGTTAATGAATTATTCTTGTCATGAATCTTTAGTTTTCTTGAAAACCCTGTAAAATATTCATCTTGAAAGTGCAACATATTTGTTATCTGAATAATGAATGCAGTGATGCAATTCACTTATCATTACTCATTTGAGAAAGTGAAAAGGTCTTGAAGAAAGAAAAAATTAGAACTTTCACATAAACTACCCAAAATATACAAAGCTACTTTCTAGAGACACGTTCTCATGTAAGATAATGTTGTGATTTCTAGTGAAATAATCCTGAGAATGACTAAATTGAGGTTTCTAAAGAAACGAACCTAAAATTTTCAAGGAGAAGGTTTGTTGGGGAACAATCTTTAGGAAGAGTAAACTGAACTTTCTAGGACACAAGTCCTAAGAGAGTCAGGATTGAAGACAACATTACAGAAGATTGACTCCTCTATATGAGAAAATCAAGATTGACTCCTCTTCACGAGAGAGTAAAGTTGAAGTTTCAAGGAAAAATGATTTTTAGTACGACAAAATTGAGTTTTCTAGGAGACAAGTTGTAAGAGGGTCACGATTGAAGTTTCTAGGGAAATTGTCTTAAGAGAGAATTTTTTTCTTAAAACAAATTTTACAGACATCCTCATGAGAGAGATCAAAATTTATCATGTATGTATGAAATGATGTATGATGCAATGACACAAATTCATGTATCATGTATAAATGCATGTTTTCTTAATATATGGTGGGAATGACTTCAAGAGCGATCTTCATTTTTTTCCTAATTAAGTTGTCTTCACTTTGTTTGCAGCAATGTGCACTCTTGCAATTCTTGACTTGTGTCAATTTCTTCTTACCCCAACAATTTTTTTCCATAATAAGATTGGCTTTCTCGACCTGAACTTGTGTAGAAATCCAATAGAGCTTTCATCTTTGAAAAGAGGATCCACTATTTCAAGCTTTAAAGACTGTGTATGTGTTGTTGCCCTGTAGCGGGAAATCAAAGGCCACTGGCTGGACATGACCACCACAGTAATTGATGGAATATTATACTGCCCAGGAGAGCCATGAGACACATCCATACCAAGGATGATGGTTGGAACCTTTGGAACAACTAGAATTGAAGTTGTTTGATTAATTGCTAAAATCGAATTTAGTCCTCCAAGCTTTACATTAATTTTACAAGCAAATTCGTAAAGGTCAAAATTTTCTTATTAGGTAAAACACAAAGGAGGAACTGTAGAGCTCCAGGAAGTTTAGATTGGATGTCCTGAAACATTTTATCCACTATATCAACAGGAGAGTAACTTCTGTTCTGATTTGACTATTGAAACACATCAAATGGAGGGTCTATCCTAATTCCTTTCATATCTCTTGAACAAGGTTATTTGTATCATATCGTGCTGAGAAGTTTAACAACATTCCATTGTTTAATCTTATTTGGCTCCACTAGTTTCTTGCTGTTAAAATTCCATCGCCTAGTCTGTGGAAAGAAATCTTCACCATTCCACACTTTTAACATCAAGGGTTGTAAAATACAACCTTCATCTTGAGTAAACACCACATGATCGCAACATTAGTTCAGCGCCATAGTTATTGGTTCGTAAAATATTCGGTAACTTATTCATCCTTTTTTATGGCTTCTGCCTAGATTTTTCAACTAGGGAAGCTCTTTGCATGGTTTTTAAAGCTTTTTTATAGCGTTGAAATAGACACCAAAGAACAAAGCTCAGTGGGAATATAAGTGGGATGCTTTGGCTTGCCAACATTAATGTATGGCAAATCACCAAAATAATGCGATTGTATGTTATGATGATGGAAAAAACAATCATATATAGTAAGCTCCATTGTCCCTTTTTCACCATTTTCATTCTTCACACCTTTCTGTCTTATTGAAAATAAATGTATGCTCAATTCAATGATATTGTATTCTTGGATGATATGAGCCTTCGAAAATGCCCCAACATTTATCATTTTTGGATAATACGGGCCTTCAAAAATGCCCCAACATTTATCATTTCTGGATGACATGGGCCTTAAAAAATGCCCAACATTTATCATTTATTGCTCCAGCACTGATTATAAGCATCAACTATGTGTCTGAGAGACACATGTCAACTACGAAGATCTACTCCAAAGAGATTATCTTGTTAGAAAATGTTTTCTTCTTCATTTTATTTTCAAAATGTGAAAAATATTTGAAAAATGTTTAAGAAAACAATTTAAAAAAATATTGTCATTTTCTAGGTTTCACAATTGATACAAATTATAAAACAAGAGTTTATTGGATATCAAAGCATTAATTACTCTCTTCCTTGAAACTTATAGCTCTTTGAAAAGTTTCAGGATTATGGATTGGTTTTAGGATGACTTCGTATTTTCTAAGGTTTCAGCTATCAAGTCTTTCTTCTTGTCCCTACTCTTTGGAACATTATACATGGCCCTCATTTCTGGCTTGGCATTTAATTGGGTGCAAAAAAATGTCGCAACTAGCATAATCAATTGCTAAACCTTTTAGAACACTTCTATTTCAGTTCTCTGAAATCTTCCATTTGTTCAAGCTTCATATACTCCTCTAACAAAGGCAATGCAGAAATATCAGTCTAAAAATGAAATTCCTGAGTGCTCGTATGAAATTGACTATAATAGGTGTCCCTCGACTCCCTTAGTCCATCTTCACCGAAACTCTTTGTTTAGTAAATTCGATTTCATTTGCCATTGTTTGGCTAGTTCAATTCATCTTTATTGTACATATATATTTTATAATTGTCTTTATTTGGCTAGCTAAATTTATCCATAAAGTCGGGGCGTCTAACCAATTGCTTTAGAGGGATAGCTCAAGCTTTATTGCATACATATAATTATATTATGGGTATATGGATTCAATTTCTTAAGCTTGTCAAAAAGAACCTGTTATATTTTAGGTGTTGTTGAAAGTCATAAAATCTCATCCTTAGAGTTCAATTTCCAAGCAACTAACCTAAACTAGATTCACTTACTCGATTATTCCATATGAGAAGATTATAATCATCATTGAACGTCATTAATAGAAGTAGAAACCAATCAGCTTTACACTCTTATGTGCAAGATATCCCATTTTGTCCACATCCTTATATACCGAATGCTAAGCCCTTAATCATATCTTCGTGTAAGGATAAAGCTAGCTTGGTTCCTGCAAGAAAAGAGTATGTATTCTGGTGTATTTTTTGGAGTAAGGTTAAGAGTTTTTGTTTTACAAGGGTTTAAATATTGTCACTCACCCAATGGCCATAACCTTAATTCTCAAGATAGCTTTTAATTCAAATGATATTAAAACTTATTCAATTGTTCACAACCTTAAAAGGTAACATAAGTTCAATCATCAAATAACTTAACAAAATATTTAAGCAAAAGATAGAAGAAAAATGAGTTCAAAGAAAACAATGCTCTTAATGCAAGTGCAAGAAATATTCATCTTGGAAGAAATGATCTCTTCATAATTAGGATGCCCCATATTATTCATTTGGGTGCTCGACTGGATTTTTTAGGGTTATTACAATCTAATGTCCTATTTGCTCATTAAAAGACCATGCCCCCAAATGGATCAGATTCTATAACTTACTTTTCGGTACCCAACAATTCTTAGTGGCATGCCCCAAGCTTCATATTCATGGCTCTCACTCCTCTAGATATGAACAGGGTGGCTTCAATTTATATTAAATATTTTGTTATTGAGTCTTCCATAAATTACCCCATACTCTAGGATTGATGTATGTAAAAATGCTTAAATTAATACAATGCAAATGCAAATGTAGATACAAAATGAAAAAGGTGTTAATTCTCTAAGTAACCACCATAGAACAACCTTCATTTAGACAACAAAGTTTCAATACACCAGGTAGTCAAAATAAAATTGTGATTCTTTGTTTCTTCATTTCCTTTAGCCATACTCTTCATGTGATCTATCATTGCACCCAAAGTTGTCGGTGTACTTCATCACATTTAATGACGCCTGATTCCCTTAAATTATTTATGGTCGAATCTTAAGATCTCCATTTTTACTTCCAATGGGAAGTGGTCTTCATCCTTCGTGAAGGGTCTTCTCGTCCTTGATCTAAATGTATCTCTTGAGAAAGCATCTTGGCCTTGGTGCCTTTAAAGGAAGTCTTCAACCTGCTTCAAATTTCTTCATTCATCAAAATTTTTACTGCATGGATCGTTTGAACATCTTTGGATATCCTAGTTTTGACTAAATGGCTAATAATTTGTTGTCTCATTATGAACAATCTTCTTACTTAGTCAATCACTTGTGAATTAACACCTTTGAATGACATGAAGATGCAATGCAAGAAAATAAAATCAAAATAAAATAGACACATAACAAAAATGGGTTAGTACACATAGGATAAACAACAAGATAGTAAGTTCTATAAGCATTGAATAAAACTTACCCTCACATGTCGACTACCTATACATGGTATAATAAATTCTACCCACACATGCTTTCTACCCACATGCTTTGTTATTCACAAAAAATCCTAACCGCATGATATCTAATTCACATGCTTGTTAAAAAAAGGTAAACCTAACCACATGATATCTAGTTCTCAGGTATTTATTCAAAATATTAGATTATTCTACCAATGACTCATAGAGCATTTCCTTCTGTACACTCCTCACAGGATTTCTAATGGTAGGTCAAGTTCTATAGTCCTGGGCTCACTATATGTTGGGTTCGTATCTAGAGCAAGAGGTACTCGAATTGTCCTTGTCGATGCCCCTTGGGCTATCATACCCTCAATCCTCCATTATAGGCTTTCAAATCAAGTTCAATTTGAGGGGACACACCTCCTTATGTCCATACAGAGGTGAAAACTATCACGAGGACCATAAGGCGTGAGCCCCAGGAGTCCTCCACTATCCCACACAAAGGTGAAAACCATTCAAGGGAGTAGTTTCTCACTCCTACTTAAATTTGATGGAGCGGGGTTTTAGCTCATGTTATGCAAATGCAGTTGTGCAGTGTGTGATGAAAAGCGAAAACAAAACAAACAACACAAAACAAAATTCTCAAATTCTTGAACCTTCATTTAATCTGAAAACATCAACAAATAAATTAGTACAACTGTTTAGTGGTTAATCTAATTATAAACAAAAAAATTATTTAAACCTAACAAGGTATCAAAAACTAAATTAGAACGAACTTATAATTTTCATTGCAAAGATAATTAATTAATTGACTAACAACTCGACTCTCTAAGAAAAAGGTGTCCCCAACAGAGTCATCAAACTGTCGAAATGATTTTTCTTAAAAAAAATTAATTCTTAAAAGTGATTTTTAAAATATATTGTCTCGAATAATTGGGTGACCTTTTTAATCATAAAATATGATTCGAGGAGTCGCCACCAATCTTTGATTAGGGTGTGATTGAGCACCCAAAAACATATTTATCATTTTAATAAAAATATAAATTTTAATTGAAACAACAAATTTGTGGTATGTGTTACCAAAAATTTGAATTCGGGAGTCAATTACGCGTGGGGAAGGATTAGCACGCCCACAGCGCCCTAAATCGATACCTAGTCGATTAGTTAGTTGTCTTTGCAATAAAATTTAGAAATTCGATTTTAATTTAATTTAAGATCTCATACATATAATATTCTCTGAATTTTAGGACGAAACACAATAATATTTAATTATTTCCTATCGAGAAGAATCGACCTCTCATGCCTTAAAGTAGTCGATTCTTACTCCAATCGAAATAAAGAAATATTACAATTCCATCCTAGAGTTCATTATTAATTCCAAATTTAAAGTGTGGAAATAACAATAAAATAAAACAAATTAAATCTAAGATTTTATTTTTTAAAACATATTCTTTGAATTTTAAGAGTGAAATGGTAATACTTAATTATTTCAAATCAAGAAGAAATGACCTCTCACGCCTTAAAGCATTCATTTATTACTTCAATCGAAATAAAGAAATATTACTATTTATTCCCAAAATTCAATATCAATTCGAGTGTTATTTATTTTTGAAATCATATTAAAACATACACAAAAACAAAACGAAAGTTAAACACACATGTCAAACAAATGAAATTAATTAATTATCTTACCAATCTTAAACAAGAATAAGGATTTTCAATTATTTAAATACATCGACATGAGACCTTACATTCAATCTATCAGTCTTTTCTCAGTGAATTCAAATAAAAGAACATGGTCTTTTTATCAATCTCCAAATTTTAATGTAGCCAATTTATTCGTTTCTCTTGATAGGATAACCTTTTATTTTAAGATTAGTGAAAGCGACCTCTTATTCTTTAAGACAATTGCTTCCTCTAATCTCAAAATAAATGGATATTCCCTTAATCAAATTATTTCAATCGAATCAAGAAATGTTTATGAGGATATCATGCAATTTAATTTAAATTAGAACCTAAACTATGTATGTATATGCATCACAAAGATATAATAATGTATAATACTTAAGAATAAATCTATACATGAAATATCCAATAAAAATTAATTCATACATTACCTTAATATATCAAGTAAATAAAATAAAGATTTAAGAACAACATACACATAACTTTTATCATATACGTGTAATTTATGTAAATTTTAAAAATATTACACACACAATAAATCGGAAATACAAATATTATAATATAGTATATATCTTAGTATAAATGTAAATATATGCAAATATATAAATATATAAACATGTTAACCTAAAATCATATAATATAATAAATTCATGAAATAATATATAAATCAAATATATATTTTTATAAAAAAGCAGAAACTTTAAAAATAAAATAACAAACATGGAAATGGTAAGGATCAAATTATAAATAATCTAACATACAAGGACTAGGAATAAAAATAAACTATAAATATTTAGGACTAAAATAAAAGCATTTACAAAACTACATGCTAAAATTACAATAAACAAAAAAAAAAGCTACGGGAACCAAAATATAATAAAATAAAAAAACGTAGCCAAATCATAAATAGACAGTGATCAAAATACATAAGTTGAAAGTATCACATCAAATTCATAAATAAAAAAAGATAAAAAACTAATTAGTGACTAAAATGTAATAACATAAAATTTAGTGATCAATTTTAAATAAATGAAAAAAATCAAATAGTGACTAAATTAAAATAAAATATAACAAAATGATAAAAATGCAATAAATTAAAAAAGGGATATTCAGTGACCAAAATGCAAAAACACAACAAACATAGGGGGACCTGTAAGAAAATGGGCCAAAATGTCATATTAGAACATTAAAATGGTAAAATAACAAAATAAGGACAATTTAATTTAAGAAAATCACGTAATAAGCTGAAAATGGTGATTAAATTGAAACAAAGGAAAAATGAGATGGTTGCGGAGAGGGTTTGACCATCACAATCCAAAATGCATAGGTAAGGAGCCAAAATGGCACCGTTTTGTTCGCCTATAAAAGCCATTTTTTCCTCATTTTTTCTTTATTTTTCCTTTTCCTTTTTTTAGAGAGCGAAGCTCTCTATTCTCTCTAAGGTTCCCCAGAATCCGGCAGAAGTTCAGTCGCCTGTCGAAGTGTCTGTTGCCGCCGCGTCGCTATCGTCGCTGGTGGCCATTCATTCCCAAAAATTATCGGTGGACTCATTTTGACGTCGAGAATGCCGATCTGGACTCAGTTTTGCGAGAATCGACCCACAACTCTTTAAAACAAACCAAAAACTCCTCGACTTCTATTTTGGGGATCTCTTCCGTCCATTGTCGGATCGAGCTATTTTTCAAGTATGTTGTTCCCCTCGTCGGTACACTCCTCCCCACCATTTGGATTAGCCACATGAGGTCCCTAATGCCGGTGAAAGGGCCGATCAAAAGATAAACCTCTTCTTTTTTCTTATTTTTTAGTTTGTAATGTTATTTCCCAATATATATATATATATATATATATATATATAGAGAGAGAGAGAGAGTGTGTTTTTTTTATTACTTTTCGAAATGCAGGGAAAAGACCCCTTTACATTGTTTTGCTTGTGTTTTATAGAACCAATTACATTTCTGAAATAAAATAAAAAATGTTATTGATTTGGTCCTTGCTTGCTGTTGGGATCTGGTGGCAAGGAGCTGGTGGCACAGTACTTGGGTTTGGGGCTGTTGGAGCTTGTTGATGGAGGCGCAGTGACCGTGACAGGGGATGGGCTACTGGCTAGTGGTTGGTGTAGCTACGACTGGGCATTGAATGCCCCGGATACTAAGGGATTTTTGTCCCTTCATTTTATAGTTTTTTATTAGAAATAATAATAAAATAATGTTAACGAGTTCTTCGGACAAAAATGAGTGTCGACAACAGAAATGGACTATTTGGGTCTAATGTGGAAACCCTCACATGTCCAACATCATTACTATATCCAACATATTGCTACAAACTACCATGGAAAATATAAGAAGAATGATGAACGCCAATTACTCATACGCATGGGTATGTTAATTTTTTTCAATTTCATTTCTCAATCATTTCATTTTATTTTTTTATAGTTCACATTAACTAGTACATATGGTTTAAGTTACAAACTATTACCTCAAAGGTTTGAGTTTATGCTACAAGAATTTCTTCTAGGAAAAAAACAAGAAAGGCTACCAGCACATCAGTGACATCAACAAAGAAATGTGGACAGATTCATATGATAGGGGTATCGATATGGTCAACCAACTTGGCCGAGGCTATCAATTCAACCTTAAAGGGGGCGCGTCATTTACCAGTCACTGCTTTGTACAAAACGAAGTATTTTTCGTTTGGGTAAGCTTTTTACGAAGCTCGGGGGCATAAGCTCTTACTTGGATGCAAAACAACCATTTTTATCACCCAAGATTAATAGCATATCTACAGAAAAAAGTTGCAACATCAAATGGGATGTTGATAACGAATTTTTCTCGCACCCATGAATTATTTTGTGAGACATAAATGTCACGACCTCTTCAAGGTATTGAATCTAACTCTTTCAGAATTAATCTGCAAGAAAGGTGGTGTGATTGTGGATTTTTTAAAGCTCTAAAGTATCCATGCTCTCATGTCATAGCAACTTGCTCACATTCCCATTTGGACTATAAAAGTTATGTTGATATCGTATACCAACTTTCACAAGTATTCAAGGTATATGAATTTGATTTTCCCCGTATGTAATGAAAAAGACCCAAATGAGATTCATACTTGGCTTACAATTATACTAGATCACTTGTTATTAAGGGAGTCAAGTCGTCCAAAATCCACTCGAATTCATTGTGATATGGATATTCGGGAGACGTAAAAAGAACATAAAAGATGTGGGCATCACAGAAACCTAGGCCACAATAGGAAAAATTGTTCATCTCTTTTATTATCACTTAACTGTTGACTATTACTTATGTAATTGTAATTTCAAATATTTCAATGTATGTGATTTTATTTTATTTTACAAGATGTAGCTTTTTTCTATTTTTTTAGTTTAGGGTTTAGTTCATGCGATTAAGATTTTAATTTTAATCTAACCTTAAACCATTAAAACCCTAAATCACTTTAACCTAAAATACCTTAAACCATTATAACATAAAAAACCCTAAACCGATTAACCAACCCTAAAATGGTATCAAAAAGAGCGTGCCCTACCTTCAAAGGCGCCTCCACTGAAACACTCATTCCACCGTGGCACCACATCTGCAAAAACCCATGGAAAGTGCCCTTTGGAATGCACCTTTCCTCCACCTCAACAAGACGCGTTTCACACAACAGGCCTTCGCCCCAATCTGTCAGAAAGGATGCTACTTCGGGCAATATTCGAGAAAGGATATTAAATCAGAATTTTTTTATTTTTTGATGATTTTTAGGTAAAATTGCCGACTATCTTAAGCCCAAAAAATTTCTTAAAATCTTTCATAATAAATAAGCAACTTACGAGGACTTACTTTTATATAAAAACACACCCAACATGTATCAAATCCCAACATACAAGTCAAAAAAAAAGAGGTTATTCATCATACATATCGATTTTTCCTTAAAATTAACTTCAAGATTCATTTATCATTTTATCTTGAGCTATCTATCTATCTATCAATCAAAACGTGCAGCACAATGTGAAATAAGTCACTACATATGAAGGTTGAAGTTGACAGATTCACCGAATGAAGGGTGATCGAACTCGAATTTTAGTTGAAAGACTTTCATTCTTTTAAAAACTATAAAATCATTTACGAAATCTTTGACTCGGAATGTATTTAAGACATATTATCATTGAAAAAATGCCACCTCTTTACATATAAATAATGTCTCTAAATTTTCAGAGCAAATACAACCACCGCAAGCTTGAAGTCGATAGACTCATATCAATATTTAAATAGTCAGTCTAAATTCTATAATTTTCAAGAATTAAGTTTTATTGAATTGAAGTAATTTTTTTTTAAAAAATAGATATTTTAACTAATTTGAAAATTGGCTTAAAAATAATGATTATGAATTTTTGGGATATTACTTAAATATTGATGTTGGTGAAATACTAACCAATTCTTTAGCATAGTTTAATGGTTAAATTAATGACTATTTATACTCAAGGTTATGAGTTTGAATTTAAAATCATTTAAGATAATTTATTTTGTGGTGATAATGTAGTATAATGTAAATATAAATTTTAATAAAATAACATCAAATAATATACTTAGCCCAATTGCTAAGTGCTCATTTCTTACCTAAGACAGTATGGGTTTTTGAATCTCATTGAAAGCATTTACAAATTATTATTTTTATTTTCTTAAGGTGGTGACGTAGAAATTAAAAGAAATTAAAAAATGCTAAAGATGAAAGAAACGCTGACGTGGAAATTAAAAAAATACCACGTTAGTCTTGTTATTAATTTTCAATGACGAATAATGAAAATAAAACAAACAAGTATAATATTTTTAAAATATAATAATTAGATTACCAAAAATGAAATAAAATAATATGTTTTTTTTTATACTTTCTACCTAGGGGAAGGGGAAAGGGAAGTTTACTCCTAGTGGATATTAAACCCACAATCTATGAGAGGGAGGAAGTATCAATTGAGAGCTTTTAATAATTTATTTTATAAGTTGTTAATTAAAATAATATATAGTTGACTAAACAAATAAGTTATCCAAATAATTAATATAAGACCCAAAATGAATGATATCATGACCAAGTTTGATATTGAAAATTTAGGGACGTTAAAAAAAGCTGAAGAAGTGGACTCAATCATTCAAAACTCAAGTGGTTTTGGTTTTTAGGTTGAAATTATTCAATTTATATTTTAATAATCTTAGATGATTATAATATAATTTAAGTTTCAAATTTACACCTAATTTAACCCCTTTTAACACGACTTAATTTCAAAGAGCTCTTAACGACATGTCAAAACTCTTTATCACATCATACAACTAAGGATTACCTAAACTTTTATAACTAATGCAACGTTGGAGTTAATATTTAGAAAATCGATGCATTATAAGTTTGGACAATGCATGTTTATAAAATTGTTGTAAGACGAAACGTTAATATTGATTGAAATAATTTAAATAAATAATTAAGAAAGAAACAAATAACCACATCTTGGTAAATTACTGTCTTAGAAGTGAATTTATCCCGATATATGCAATAGTTACGATGGACGAACGCCCCCTTATATTTATACGGTCTCTCTAATAATTCGTACACCCTAAAACTAGAGCGAACTTTGATGATATTGCTTTTTTCGTAATATTCAGAATAATAACTCAGAAAAGATTATGAAAGCACTAAGAGGAAGAATAATGTTTTAAAGCAAATGTTTTTTATTGGAATAAGAAAACGAGAAAGTTCTCTTATAGTTGTAGAAAATGAAATGGGAAAATCAACCTCTATTTATAGGTTCAAAGTATGGATAAAATTGTAAAAGATAATAACAGATAAAAAATAATTAATTAGCATAAATAATATTTTAATGATCATAAATATTATTAAATATTTTGTAATAGCTAGAAATGATAAAATATAAACTCTGATAAATAATATTTTATCAAAAAGATCTTATTATGGACAAATAAAAACAAACAAAATTGAACTATGCCAACCGATTCCTACACAATATGAAATTCTTTGAATTACCACCAATGCCCTACAAATATAAGTTTAAAAGCAAACTCTGCAAACAATCTCTTAGTCCTCTCTGTTACTTTACATTGTTCTTGTCTATTTCAAATCATTTTTAAGGGAGAAGAGAAAGAAAGGTTGAACATCTATAGCTACTGTGATAACTCGATTGAGTATTCATTTTCGTAACGCAGTGTTGCAACATCATTTGCAATAGTCGAGCTAGAACAACTTAAAACCAAAAGTTCTCACTGAAATTAATAGTAATTAATTGAGATAAATATTAAAATTATGAATGAAATATAAACTTTAATTTTATATAGTTGTATATATGAAATTTTGGTTTTGATTTAAACTTTATAAACCATTAGTGTTAGGGACAGTCAAAATTTCAGTTAAGGGGGATAATTTTTTTTTTTTTTTTGAAAGTGAGGAGGATAATTTTTTTCTCTTCGCAGGATTGGAGGGGGCTACAGGCTACAACCCCTCCCGATTTTAATATTGATCCGTCCCTGATTAATATTGTTGTCTGCATGAAATAATTTTACATTTAATTATCACATATAAAATAATTATATTATTAAAAATGATAATAGTTAAATACGTTTAATTTTTTTTTGGTAAATAAAGGATTTCAAACAAAATTAAATAAACATTACTCTAATCCTACCCTATCGCATGGAATATTGCAGTAACAGAATTCGGAGGTGCCTATTAAAGTCAAATAAGGCTGCACCATTCGGTGCATGTTCAAAGGTTGGCACCGAATGGTGCATAATTTCAAAGGTTGGCTGGGTTGGCAGATTTTTTGCTGGAAATGATAATGGGGAAACTGCATTTTAGTCACTGCATACTTTAGGGTATTCACAAGATAATTCTCAAGCTTCAACTATAAATACCCTAACCCATTTAGCTTCAAAATTATCCAATCATCCCAAATCATTTCTTTCTCCCAATACTAGAGAGCTTTCTTGTGAGTTGTCAGTGTTTTATAAACACCTATAAATTTTTTCTCTTTAGTAAAAGATCTGCAGTAGTCCGGAGACGTAGGCAAAATTGGTCGAACTCCGTTATCAATTTCGGGTATTGTTTTTCTGCTGTTATTTCGCATTCTCACTAATCTGGTTATAGGGAAATTACTCGGTTTATTTCCCAACAACTGGTATAAGAGTTTTTGGTGGTGAATTATTTCAATTTTCTGTGAGGTTACTATTCACATGAATAGTGAAGTTTGTATAGTAAAATTTGGTCGGCAATACGAATTTGTCGACGGAGGTGTTCTAATAAACGGTGGTTTGCATAAATTGTCATAAACGATCCAAAAGAAGCCAGATTCGAGCGGGAGCGATGGCTTTGAGAAACGAAGTGGATGAGCTCAAGAGGGACCAACTCATATGCAAGGGAGCAATGAGTGAATGAGGTGTGCTCAAGACCTTCTTGGAAGGACTTAGACTAGGGGCGATGCTTGGGGGAGAGCAAGGAGATGCCCAGAGACTTTCGGAGGCCATAGTTGTAGTCGGAAAGCTGACTGAGCTTGCAATAGTCAAGCCAAGTAGCAATGTGTCGTCCATGCCCATACCCAGGGATAGTGGCAACAGTGGGGGAGACTGGGAAAAGGTGCAGCAGGGAGATGGTAGAGAAAGCTCTTCGAATGGCCAAGGTGAGCCAGCGAATGTTCGTAGCCAATGAAAGCCATCAGGAAAGAATGACAAAACTAAGTCCAGTGTAAAGAAGAAAGGGAATAATGACAAATTGAAGTTCTAATTCTGTGATGGTTCTCATTTGATTAGAGGATGTCCCGAGAAGCATCGCCTTACAACCATCATGAAGAGGATGTGAGAAGGAGAAGTAGCAGAAATTGGCACAAACACAAGTGTTAAAGTTGCCAAGCCAGGGAAAAGACTTGGTCTGATTGAGGGGATCAATACGGCCAAGCAAGGATCGAGACGAGGCAAGGCTATTGATGTTGAAGCAGTCAAACCCGGAAGAAAGCCTGAGATTGCGAGTATCCAAGCAATCAAGACAGGGGAAAGACTTGGTGAGGCTACATGTTCCAAAGTAGCTGAATTAGGGAGCAAGAGTAGTGCGACTACAAGTTCTCAAGTAGTCAACCCAGGATCGAAAAGTGATGAGACTGCGGGTGTCAAAGCAGTCGAGCACAAGAAGGGACCCGGTGCGATAGCAATAGATAAAGCCGTCAAGCCGAGGGTGCAAAGTGAACAACTCCGTTCGCAGTATTCCAGGATGGAGGCGTGGTCCAAGTTGAGGCGTCTCAGGCATAAAGGGACACTTAAGGAGTATATGAGTCGATTCAGAAAACTAATGCTCAAAGTCTCGAGTTTGACTAAAGAAGATGGATTCTTCACCTTCATGTTCGGATTGAAGCCATGGGCGAAGAAAGTGTTGGAGCGAAGGGAAGTCAAGGAGTTGTCTAAAGCCTTGAAAACCGCTGAGTTCATCAAAGAATTTTGAGTCAAGAAGAGTTGTATGTGTCCAAGGAGTTTGCCGAGCATATTCGTGTAGACAAAATGGCTTCAGAGACCATCTTAAGAGAAGGGTTGAAGCAGGGGCTTGCCGAGGATGTTCAAGTGAGGAACAATCCTTCAAAGACTAGTGGACAAGATTTGAAGGGAGCCAAGACGTTGAGGGACAAGGCAACCACGGAGAAACTGCCCAATAACAAGTGGGTTTACAGGACGATGACTACGAACAAACTGAAGTTGTGTTCAACTTCAGTTGGCATGCTACAGTAACAAGAGCAGAAATGTTGTTGCATTGATCGAGGTGTGAAGACAGATTAAAATCAATCTTCAAGTGGAAGATTGTTAAAGTCAAATAAGGTTGCACCATTCGGTGCATGTTCAAAGGTTGGCACCGAATGGTGCATAATTTCAAATGTTGGCTGGGTTGGCAGATTTTTTGTTGAAAATGGTAATGGGGAATTTGCATTTAGTCCCTGCACACTTTAGGGTATTTATAATATTAGTCCTCAAGCTTCAACTATAAATACCCTAACCCATTTAGCTTCAAAATCATCCCATCATCCCAAATCATTTATTTCTCCCAATACTAGAGAGTTTTCTTGTGAGTTGTGAGTTTCTTGTAAATACCTGTAAATTTTCTCTCTTTAGAAAAAGATATGCAGCAGTCCGGAGACGTAGGCAAAATTGGTCAAACTCCGTTATCAATTTCGGGTATTGTTTTTCCGCTGTTATTTCGCATTCTCACTAATCTGATTATAGGGAAATTACTCGGTTATTTCCCAACAGTGCCAACATGACTCTTCCTGGAAATTCATCTTTCCTCACCAGTTTTTCCAGACTATCAGCTAATCTATTAGTTCCTCGTTTTATGACTGAAGGTTTTACTGTCCAATTCCTCTTCATAATCTCCTATATGTGTTACAATATAGTCGGTGATGTCCG